AAAAGACTGAAGTGTTATGAAAGCAAGCAAAGATGTTAAAAAAAAAAAAGTGTTGACAGAAATGCAGTAAATTTTGACTTCCTAGACTATTACTGCTGGTTATCTAGAGACTTTGGCAGGTAAACATAACACACTTGAAACAAAACAAAAAACCACTACTTAGCAACCCTAAAAACTCTGATCACTATATTGTACTTGTTTGAACATTTCAGTGATCAGGGATTTCTGCAAAAGTTTCTCTCTTAGAGCACCATCTATGCCCTACTATGCCTGAATAAACTCTGCCTGGAGTGTCAAATTCTAAAGATAACCTAAAAGGCAATCAGTTAACGCATGCAAGAAGATAACTCCCAAACAAGGAAAACTGATAGCAGTGAAACAGCAAAGTCCTCCAAAGAACAATAAAGTAGATGTGAGCTTTCAGTGTGACACAGAAATAACATAACATAATATAAAAATAAAAATAAAATCAGCACAGACTACTAAGAAAGGTGTGACATACTCTACAGAAACACCACCACAAGTTTCTGGGCATCTGTGCCTCGTATGCCAAATCTTCTGAAGCACAAATAAAGAGAAAGCTTGTCCTCTAACAGAACTTTTGTTTTCTGACTAAATCAAACCTGAGATAAACTGATCTATAAATCTTAAACTGGTTTATGTGCCTTTTTTTTTCTTTAATAGGTAGAGAGCATATATTTACGAAATAGATGGAAAAGGATACAAACACTCAAGAGAATTTAATGCTCCTAAGAGATAGATCTATTAATTATGGAAGTGTCTGCAGGAATACAGCCAAGCCAACTACTTGAATCACTGCAGAAAATACACACAAAGAGATCACCCCTTATAAACCACACTGATAAAGAGATGGATTAGATCTTTTAAACTTCAAGAACGGTAGCAAGAATAGCAATAGAGAAGATTCCATTGCTTTAAGTTGCCTTTAAAAACATGGGTTTAGAAAAGACTAAGATGTAAACATCCAGTATTGCAATACTTCCTATTCTGTACAGCTTATTCTACTTACTAACATTTAAAAGTCAGCCATGAACATAAAGATCTAGGACTTCCTATCTTAAAATACTACAACACTAACAGAATACCAAAGATTCTTCAAGATATTAATCATTTCAGAAGCACTGCCTCACAAATCATCAGGAATAGAAATTCATACTTTGCATTGTCAGAGAAGGTGGTTCTCTATAGGTATAGAGAAGCCATTCCCTTTTGTCCAAACAATAGAGGAAGGTTTCAGGAAGCATCAAAACTTCAGTCATAGGGATACATCTACTTTCATAGGTGCTGCCTCAACAGTTCTATGAATTACCATGCCATAACACTTCACTTGAAGTGAGAAGGAGGGCTTTTCATACTGAAAAGTTCTTTGTGACAAATTGTGATCATTCTTAAAAGGCAGGTAAATATGAAAAGAAGCAGCTATATGAAAACCAATGTTGCAATAGAGTGTCCAATCTCCCCACTAGAGAACAAAAAAATGTTTTTGTTCTTACTTCTGACAGAAGTTAACAAAAAAGTGGCTGTGGAATCACAGCTAGAAGAATCTGAGCTGAAGAAAGCATTTGAAGAAATATGGTACTAGAAGCAGAAGTTAAGCAATCAAACTTTGAAAAAGAAAAAAAAAAAAGAGAGAGAGCAGTTTCAAAATTAACTTTACATATATGGAAGCAATTTGTACTATTTAGGACACTTCAGACTTTAG